GATATTATCTATACGGGTTGACCCTCACAATGGGCTAGCAATAATGTAGTTCAAATTCTTTTTTAGCGAGAATCGAACCTAAGATCTCTCACTTACAAGTGAAGAAGAATACCACTAAACTGTAGTACTAAAAAGGACCTGTAAAATAATTTTAATTAGCATATATAATATTACACATGTCAAATTTTCTAATGCTTGGATACACGAGGATGTGGTATTAGAAACATCTAAGAATTTCTCCATAGTTCAACACCTAATAAGTAGACATCTTATATAGGAAGTTTCTAACGTGTAATAACTCAATTGATCAAGAACATTTATCTATATGCACTTGAGATACTCAGTATATATTTCAAAGCATTCTCTGATGTGTCAATGCATATAAGATGAATTTTGCTAACTGTATCGAAGTGCTCGATTGCAGGGCAAAGTTTCATATTAAATCAAAGTCAATCAGAGTGTGAGAGACCCAAGTAAATATGTCACGATTCTACAGTTAATTAGAGTGTTGAAGATTAGCTGATGATATACCCAAAGTTCATGAATTATAGATAGTTATAAACTTTTAAGTGACAGTTGTTTCATTTTTTAAATTGTTGAGAAATGATCAAGGTGCGTCTTTTTTTGCTACCCAAACATGAGGCAGAACGGAGAACATATATATAGCATATATATATATATATGTGGGTAAATTACACTGTAGCACCTTAGGTTTGAGGTCTATTACAACCTCATACAACATCTTCAAAACATTTCACTTTCATACCTCAAGTACTATTTTATTTTAATATAATACATCCGTTACATTTTCCATCCATTGTTCTGTTAAGAGCTGACGTGGCTGCCACATTTGTGCCACGTGGCGAAAGTTTTTTTTTTTATGAATTTAAAAATAATTAATTAAAGAAAAGTGAAAAAAAAAATCCCAAAAACCTATCCCTTCCCCTTCCCCACAACCCCCACCCCACCTAGATTACCCAGATTTGTTCTAAAACAGATTACCTAGCTTTCCCATCAATTTTCCCTCATTTTCTCGGCAACCAAACAGTAAATAACTCCAAAAATTCAATGGATTCCAACCCCAATTTTCTAGAATCCGAACCCAAGAACAAAAATGCAAAAAATTCAAATTTTTGCAGAAGATTAAAACTTAAAAAAATCTGGACCCAATGCCAAACAACTCCCAGTCAATTACCTCACCCTCCCTCTCTCTACCTTCTCCTCCACATCGAACTCTGTCTTCTCCTCCACATCGATATCTGTTTGGTTTGATCTCATTATTAAAGCAAAAATGGAGGCCAAGGAAGAGGGTGTTAAGCTGGGAGCGAACAAGTTCCCGGAGAGGCAGCTGATTGGGACGTCAGCTCAGAGCCTAGATGAAGGGAAGGACTACAAGGAACTGTCGCCTGCTCCACTGTTCGAGCTCGGCGAGCTTACGTCATGGTCTTTCTTTAGGCTTAGGATCGCCGAGTTCATTACCACTTTCCTGTTCCTCTACATCATAATCTTGACGGTGATGGGCGTCGTCAAGTCGAATTTGAAGTGCGCGACGATCGGGATTCAATGAATCGCTTGGGCTTTTGGCGAGACCATCTTCGCCCTCGTCTACAGCATCGCCGACATCTCTGGGGAGGATGGGTGTGGGGGGGGGGGAGGTGAAGAGAGTAGAGGAGAAGTGGGTCGGGGAAGATGGGTTTTAGGGGTTTTTTTTTTTTTTTTAATAACTTTTCTTTAATTAATTATTTTTAAATTCATAAATTTTTTCTTGCCACGTGGCACAAATATGGCAACCACGTCAGCTCTTAACGGAACAATGGATGGACAATGTAAGGGGTGTATTATATTGAAATAAAATAGTACTTGAGGTATGAAAGTGAAATGTTTTGAAGATGTTGTATGAGGTTGTAATTGACCTCAAATTTGAGTTGCTACTAGACCCGGCAGTTTCTAACACGACACGATGACACGACAAGAAAACGACACGAAAATAATGGGTTTCGGGTTAACACGATAACTTATCGGGTCATTATCGGGTGACCCGTTAAGAATCCATTAATAACGGGTATACACATGGGTAACACGTGGGTGACGCGTTTCGACCCGTTAAGAAAAAAATTATTTTGATGATTTTAAAGTTTAATTACTAAATGATTTATTATAAAATACAATAGCCATATTAATATATACAATATATTCTATATTAAATATATAGTTTTGTATTATTATTCTATATAAGTTAAAAAAAAAGTTTTTAGTCATTATTTATTTTTATTATGAGAGTTCTTTATTATCATTACTAGGATAGTATCTGTATAGATAAGAACCAAGGAAGAAAATATCGGTAATATCGGAAATATCGGTAGTCCGAAAACACGGAAATATCGATGGAAATATCGGGATAATATCGATATCAATAAAAATTACATGGAAACCACGGAAATTGTAAGAAAAACTTGGAAATTTTTATTGAAACTTTGCAGGATGTTTATTTAGTCAATTATCTATTAGTTTATCACAAAAAATTGGAAGGAAATGCATTGCATGATGGATTTAACATTATCAAGTTGATTATATAGCGAGCTGACAAACATTATGAGTGTAGAAAATATGTAGTAATTAATGAAAGAAGTCTAAACACACCATAATCATTTATATATAATGAATTAGTACAATATTTTACACAAAAGCCTAAAAATTTAAAATCCTAAAATTTTACTTTCCCACCCCCAAACTTATTGCACACCTTGTCCTCAAGGTGTGTAAAAATAAACAAAGATTGAAGAACAAAAATAAAAACTGTAAAAGATAAAACAAAAGCCTAAAATAAATAAACTAGAAGAAAAGGAAAATAGAAAAGAAAACAAAGAAATTAAAATAAACAAATAATAAAACAAAAAGAAAAGAAGAAGAACAAAAATAAAAACTGTAAAAGATAAAACAAAAGCCTAAAATAAATAAACTAGAAGAAAAGGAAAATAGAAAAGAAAACAAAGAAATTAAAATAAACAAATAATAAAACAAAAAGAAAAGAAGAAAAAGGACAAAGATCACCTGGATTTGAACTGAAGACCTGGTGCTATTGAAGAGAAACACGGCCCAACACGTCCAAGTCCACACTTGTGTCAAAGTGCAGCAACAACTACAATATATGCTGATGCAGCAGCTTCCTGTTTGAATTGAAAAACCCTAGCAGCTGCTACATCTTTTGCCCTTGCCTCGAGCCTAGAGCCTCAAAAGGCTCTCTATCTCTCCATAGCAGACCATCCCTTTCAATCTCTCCATTGTTTCTCAATTTCGCACCCCTTTTCAACCAAGAGCCAAGCAACATACATACCCCTTTTCGCACCCCGTGGCTCTACCTCAAATCGGTCATCCTCATCGGCGCCCTCTACTTCCTTTCCCTCTGCTCCTCCCTCGCCTTCCTCCTCGTCGAGCCCATCACCATGTCCCGCGGGCCGCGACCTCTACCTCTCCTCCGTCGTCCCCATCGGTGCGATCCTCCTCGTTCGCGTCTCCCTCTGCTCTCTCTTTCTCTCCTCTCTTTCAGCCGCTGATCGAATACGATCTGTGAAATGCTTGCTCATTGATCTCTGAGCTCCGTCCGATCTGCGGCCTTCCAAAGATGATGATCTTTAGCACTGTAACTGCCGGTGAGGTACTCGATCTCTCAGCTTCTACTGTTTTCTTTCAGATCTTGCTCGAATTCAAGCCCTTGCTTCTCGGATTAGTGTAATTTTGTCACTGATTTTGGTATAAAGTGGTGATTTTTGTTGAAAGATAGTGATGATTTTGTTCCGTTTGGTTGCAGGTTTCATTCTTGCTCGGAGTTATTCCGATTCTCCGGCGAGGTTGTGACTGACTGTCGAGAAACAAAAAATATCGCGATATTATCTAAAATATCGCGATATTATCGTTATTATCGATAATATCGCGATATTTTGACGAAAATTCCTCGGATACCTATTAAAATATCGGTAAAGCAAAAAACCGATAATATCGGCGAAATATCGCCGATATTATCGATTTTTTCTTCCATGATAAGAACTAAGAAGACACACATACAAGTATGAAAAATGTGAAAGAATATATAAACACTTGTGATTCATCATTATTCCTCTACTAGTAGATAATGATTACACTTACATTATTATTTAGATTTTTAAAATCCTCCCAAACCCTCATGAAAAATATTTTTTATTTGAGGGAAAAATTAATAATAATTATTGTAGAAGTGTAAAAAATGTAAAAAAAAAATATTCAATCACTCATAATGACAAGTTTTACAACTTTCATGAAGGGGTCAGCTTCGAAATCCAACACTATAATCCATAAACCTTAAATTTATATTTAACCGTCGATTGTCATTTACTCTTTATTCTTGTTACTGAATTTCATTTTTAAAATTTTCTTTTTTGAAAACATGATCATCTAGTGGATGTAAAAAGATGAACGGTTCAAATCTTTGATATCACATTTCGATATTTACGGTTAATTGAAATATGAGTCCGTGTTATATATTTTGTAGAAACTTTATAAACATCAAGCAATATTTTCACTAATCATAAAACTCTGAACATAATATCAACGATCCAAACCGTTCATCTTCTTGCATCCTCTAACAGATCATATTTTCAAAAAAGAAAATATGAAAAAACAAATTTTGATGAGAAAAACAAAGCGTAAATGTAAATAATAATCAACGGTTAAATTTTGATCTATGATTTATATGATTATAGTGGTGAATTTCGAAGTTAAGTTCTTCACGAAAGTTGTCAAGCTTGTTATTACGAGCATTTATATATTTTTTCTATATTTTTTATACTTCTACATTAATTAAAAAACTATTAAAGACTTTACTTAAATAACAGCCGTAAGATAAATGAGATTAAATTTGTACCGTTGGATTCTATTTCACTTATATTATTAAAAAAAAATTGGACAAAAAAACCCCTTATATTTTCCAAATTTTTCCATCTGAGTCCTAAATTCTAATCAAAACAAAAGCCAGCCCACTGCCCAACTCTAAATTCTAATCCCTTTCTCTCTCGGACTCTCCCCACTCTTGTAAGCCGTAACCCTCTCTCCCGACCCGCCGTGGTGCCGTCTGTTCTTCTTAGCCACAATCTCCCGCCGTCTGCTCTTCCAAAAAACTCTGATTTGACAGCCACGATCTTCTCGTCCTCCATTTGTACGACCTCTTCCTCTTTATTTCTCTACATAAGTATTTCTCCCTCTTCAAACTTTCTCTACACTCATAGTTCCTATTTCTGACCACGATCGACACATCGTTTCTTGCGTTGGATTCATCTCTTCCTCTTGTTGATCTGTTCAGTTTTACATTGTCCAGAAACACATTCATCTGAGCGAGTCGAATCCCCAAAGTCTGTCATTTTCTGGCGATTTATATGACGGCGCAGGTAAGAAATTCGTTGTCATCATCTATTGTTGTTTTTCTATGAATCGGGTTTAGACAACCAATTTTTCCCTCGCTTTGAACACCCAATTTTGATATGCGTTCATATTGTTCGATTACACTTGGTACAATTTTGATTGTTTTGTTTTCAACTGTGCATTAAACATTTAAACCCTAAACCCTAAAACTCGGATAATTTGATGTGAAACTAAATTCAATATTTCAATGAAATCTGGTGTGTGTGTGAGAATGTTAAGTACATTCAAAGCAGTGTTTGTTAGATTTCGGTGCTACATTATTTGAATTGCTTGTGAATTGGTTGGATGATGATTTGGGCATGTAATGCCAAGGAATTTCATTACATTCCTGGATGTTCTTTTATGTTTCATCTATTCTTCACTTTTGTTATAAAAAAAAGAAGATCAAAAAGGGAAATTGCGTGACAGTTTTTCAAGCTGTTTTTGATTCATGGAAATGAAAAAAACGTAACTAAAACCAATGGCTGCTTTGGAAAGTGCCAAAGGAGCAGCTGCACAGAGCACCATCTCTTGGAGTCCTCATTTTTAATAACTGAAAGCAGTGGCTACCCTACTTTGGAGAGTGCCAAAGGAGTAGCTGCACAGAGCACCATCTCCAGGAGCCCTCATTTTTAATTATATATATATCCTAATTAGTGCATACCCAAATTATTTTTTATTTTGAAAATTGTTGTATCTTTTTATCTACTTCCTTTTTTTCTTGATTAAAAATTTCATTTATGTGACATAACCTTTGTGTGAAAAAATATATTTAAGTTAGTAGTAGTTGGTGCCTTGAACGCTAGAACTGTTTCCATCCTCAAAATGGTTCCTATATATTGACAAGTATATTGTATACCAATTGAATTGCACTCAGTCTCACTGCACTGTGCACCATATCGAAAACTTGGTACTATCTTGTCTAATGCTGAATGCTTTATTGCTTGGTAATATCCATTGTTACTGATAGTAATATCCTACCTGTTTAAAAAGCTATTAATTAATTTATACCCATTTTGTTTCAGAAGCAATGGACGCTAGAGATTCAGATTCAGTAAACGATGAGGAGTCCATTGTGCATGGCATCACACTCGCAATAAGGTGGGCATTGGGATCCCTTGCATATAGTCTCATCTAATCTCCTTATTGTTAGTGCCTATAGGCATGGCACATAGCAAGAGTAGTCTTCGTCAGTGGCCGGCTGTACCATTCTTGCACAGCTAGAAGATTGATTTGTGTTTTGGTTCTAAATTCTAATCAAGCAATTGTGGGATTGAGTCCCACTGGGCGTTCAACCTTTTTTTCACTTAAAAAAAGTATTATGTTTTTTATTTAATTATTTATTGGTCTAAAATATATTTCCTTAACGGGTAACGGGTCGGATCATATTATCGGGTCAATTTCGGGTCGGGTTATTTTACCCGTTTATTTTAACGGGTGTTAGACGACACGACCTATTAAGATATCGGGTATGATACGAAAACGACACGAACACGGGAAACATGACACGAATGCCAGGTCTAGTTGCTACAATGTAATTTACCATATATATATAGGGAATTGTTATTGGCACTCCAAAAATCTCATTTTGCACTCCAAACTTTCTATAATTAGAAAGAAAAATACACTTGTGAGGAGTGCAGAATGAGATTTTTGGAGTGTAAATAATAGTTCCCTATATATATATATATATATATATATATATATATATATATATTAAGATGTACTAGTCTTAAATAGACGAATATAACATGTGATTCCCCATACTTATATGGAAATATATATTTACAATGTAATATTATCAAATATTTAAGAAGAATGATTCAAGTTTAAGTGCAAGAAGACGAATACACTTTTCTAACCAACTGATATAACTCACATATATGCAAGGACGAATGTAAAATTAAGTGCTCCACTCCTAAAAGCCTCATTTGCTTACAAGTCAATTCTAATTATCTCTAAGATCTTGTAGATGGCATCTCCTAATATAACTCACAAATTTTCACACTTTTGAGAGGTTGAGGATCTTGAAACCCTTCTATTGAAGGTGGGAGTATATGACCCTTGTCATATTTCATGCATGGAGAAATTTTTAGTTGTGACGGGAATACAAGTGGTACACCACGTGTTTTAATAGGAAATGTGGGAAATTTTATTTTTTAAGTTATTAATTTTTTAGCACACATATCTCACTATTTGTTTAGTGACACGTGATGTACCATCTCGTGTACCGGTCACACTAAATAATCTCTCTCATGCATGCATGCACGCTTCACTCACTCACTCATTAAATTAATATAAAACTAAAAAAGTAATATTTAATTATATAAGGATATATTTTCATGAAAATGTGTGAGAAATAATTTGATTGTGAACTCGTACGTTATCCATGAGATTCAAGTATTAAACTACTTCTCGTTTATAAGTGAAGACTCTAAAATAAAATATTATTAGACCGTAATACTAAGTGACATTATTATTTTGAGTGTGAGGCTAAGTTTACCCCCTCCCTATTAGTGTAGATAATTTCGTTTGTTCAACAAAAAAAGAAGTTTATTGCGGAGCAAAAAATAATCCCAAAAATTCAGATGATGACACGCAGGCTTGTTCTTAAGAAAGAAATGATTGCCCTCATTAAATGGATAGGACTCGTAAATACTCCCACTTCCATCTCAACATCCCTTAAGGTCTAAGCAGCTAATTACGACTAATCAAGACTCCCTTGGTCGTGACATGTAAAAGTCAATGACATTAAAGATATGATTAATTACTAAATTTTATATTTAATACATTTCCAATTGAAGATCAACTCCATCGAGTAAGGAATCCATATCACCATCAATCATGGATACTTCTATCATTATCCCAAGATATTATCTCCTAATTAATATCTTGGGAATATTCTTTCCTCGTTCATCCAACAAATGACACACCTTGGCCAATTGGATGTCGCCACGTGTAGGAAAAACCTAAACCCAATGGTCAACCACCTCCTCTTGTGAATACCTCCATCTCCATCAAATTTTGGTAAGCTTTAGCTATGTATACAAGCCCTGAACACTCACTCTTTTTAGAGAAACTAACTTAGGCATCAAAGATCCATTAGCTAAACACCTCCACATTGCGGGAATGTGAGGATTTAGTCTTTGATTAAATGTGTTGATTGTTTTGTAGTTACAAATTCGTCAAGACTGAAGACAATGAATTTTTGCTACCATAAATTGGTGTTTTCATTCAAACCCTCAAAGAAGGCTTTTGCATTCACGTTTCAAAATTTTCCTTTATATATGTAAACTTTCTTGCACGTTCATATTCCTAAATTTTTTATAAGTTCTTTGAATAACCCTGGGAAAGAAATACAATGGCGGGAAATTCTAAAACCATGATGAATGAACATCCTACATTCAAGGATTTGGATTGGATAATGAAGACCAAGATGTAACCCCATATCGACGATCCTAGAGGCTCAACACGGCGACAAATGAGCCCCACCCCTGTGGAGCAGCGCTTCCACTATGGCCACTTCCTAGTAACCACCACAGGTCCACCAAGCGAAGATGCAACATACTACCTAGCAACCCTCGTGACAAGCAGGCATGCCAGATCTTGGGAAGAGGCCTAGGTCCATGACGTGAACCATGATCAGAGGCCCAAAGGGAAATAGCTGCCACTGGAGCAAAGGACACCTAGGCCTAAACAATAGTTGCTGTTGGCCAGGTAGCCCAGAAGGCCCAAGCCTAAGCCGCGTAGCAGGCATTCGATGCCAACGGGCAAGTGGCCCACGCACGAACCCAGTGTGCTCCAACCCATGGCCAAGCGGGTGAAGCCGACTAGGCTCCCGCTTTAAGCTAGTTTGAGAATGGTTCAGCTGTCCCGGATTCCGACCGCCGCATAGGCGACTGAACTGGGGGGTTTTTGCCCTGATTTTCCACATGTATGACCATTTCGAGCCCGAGTTTTGTATATGCAGCTCACTACACTTCCACCACTCATGGAGATGCCTATCAATTAAGCTCTTTCACCCCAAATGGTGATCAACACCTGTCCTAGCATGTTGCAGACTTAACTAGTGCCTTCGCATATTAAACGATTTTTGTGAACCAATTATTAGAACACATCAAGATGTAGCACACCCTCGATAATCATCCAAAAATAGGACAAGGGTAGATGATTATGACTTTTTCTATTGAGGTCCCAACAAATAGCCCTTCAATCCCCCACAAACTGAGTCTTCTGGGAGTGTACATTCTCGTTTTGGCCCTTAAGAAAACGTCTTCCCCACATAAATACACAAAGAAGCGTTCATTCTCAATTTGGCACTCGAGTCTGTGTGTATTCAAGGTTGGGTCCACAATTAGACAAGCACTCTAGATCTCCTAAGGGAAAGGCCCACTCGCCGCTAGGCCCATAAGAAGTTCCTCCTATCATGCACTAGAGTAGGCAACACGACAGACAGAGGGAAACATGAGAGCAATCCAACTTGAGTGTAACTGGTAGCCTACACCAAGCACTACAGCGAGCATTTCGTTCACTAGCCAGATGAGAACCACGTGCACCGCAACTGCGACACAGACGAGGAGGACAAGTGAAAGAGCAGCACATACAAGCAAGTTGACACTGGGGGCAGCTGGGGGCCTGTTGCCCCAGTATAGGAAAATCCATGAAGAAGTACAAAAACTCATAATAGAGCCATTGCACGGATTCCAATGTATTGAAACAATTAATGAAACCCATTAGAGAGACGTGGCTAACATTAGCAGCTCACTTTTCATTGACAAGATCGAGCAGACGGAACACCCCGCATACACTAGAGGATGCAAAGGTTACTTTTGTTTCGACAAAACCCAGCCTGATGGCACGCCATAGCCAGATGAGTACTAGAATGACGCAATAGCCCAACCTCCAAGAGAGTTCTTGTAACCATGAATGACCGATGACAGGTCTTGTTCTCATCACCCTGACAGTTCAAAGCTGGAGTAGCACATCACCATCAGTAAAACACCGAGAACCTACTAGCCTAATTTCTTCGGCTGCGTATAAAATGGCCAAATCTGACCTCAGTTCTGTGGCTCCCAACAGTGCCTATCTTACACCATAATTCCCAGCTGTGTCAAAACCTATTCTGCAGGTCCCGACAACCCTCGATCTCACACCATGGGTTCTAGCCATGCTGGTCTTGTACCATGGCTCCCAACCGTACCAATCTTGCTCCATGGTTTCTCGCTGTGCCAATTTTGCCTCGCGGATCTTTGCCGCGGCTCCTAATCGCGACACTTTAAGCTTCAAAGAATTCAATGATGAAACAAAACACGAGGCTTTAACTAGTAGCCCTCTGTTATCTAAAACACTTAAAGAAGCTTGCAATCCATTCAGAATCACAACTTATCACTAACCAAGCTTCGTGAGAGCGCATGGTGAAACATCCAAGGATGGCACAATTATTATAAAAGGTTAAAGAGAATCTCACTGCATTCCTCATTTACACCCTTACACAGGTTCCATAAGCAGTTCAAAATCTCAAGCAAATCGTTGAACAAGACCTCATAAACTAAAGATTACTTCAGTTGTCTAACAGTTCAACTTTCCTTAGATGCACACATAACAACTACTTCCATGTTCTCTAATGGGAGAAGGTAAACCAATCCTTCGACACCCATCTAGGTATGCTCTTCCATGCTCTATAGTGTGAGAGGGTAACTGACTCTCCGACACCCATATTGGTCTACTCTTTAACATGAGACGATAAACTAATTCTCCGACACTTTATCTGGTTCTACTCTTTAGTGCTAGAGATAAACTATTTCTTCGACACTCAGAGGGAAAGGATAAACTAATTCCTAACACCCATTTAGGTCAGCTCTCTTATGCAAGAGGATAAATTGATTCCCCTACACCCATATGGGTCTGCTATTCGGTGCGAGAGGATAAACTAATTCCCTGACACCTATCTAGGTTTGCTTTCTAGCGCAAGAGGATAAACTAATTTCTCGACACCCATCTGGAAATGTTCTTCATCACTTGAGGATAAACTAATTCCTTGACACCCATTTGGGTTTGCTTTCCAGAACGAGAGAATAAACTAATTCCCCTACACCCATTTGGTTTTGCTCTCCAATGCGAGATGGTAAACTAACTCCCTTACATCCTTTAGGGTATGCTCTCCCCCTGGGAGAGGTTAAACTGCCCATGAATTTCCACATGATTGAACACTTTTGCTGTGACCCGTTACATAAAATGCAGCGCATTCCTCAAATGGCTTGTGAATTTCCATACAACTAAACAATTTTGATGTGATTAGTTAGCGATTTTTGTGTCTCATAGATCTTGATCATGTTGTGA